TCTATCTCTCTCTCTCTCTCTCTCTCTCTCTCTCTCTCTCTCTCTCTCTCTTTCAAACTTTGATGTATTTTACAACAAATTTAACTTTAATTTGGTAATTTGGCAAATGGCCCTGGGCTCTGTACGAATGAAAATGAATGACTGAATGAATATTCAATTTGTATTCGTTTAAAGTTGAAAATTCAATTCGCTGCGCAAATTTTCCCGCACAACTTTTGATTTCTTAGGTGAAGTATAAAGAGGGATTATTATTTGGAATTAAATCAATTTTTTATTTTATTATTATATTTATATTTGAATATGAAATGTTGATCAAATAATTTCTATAGTTCGATTTATACATAAATATAAAATTTTTATAAAATATTTTCTTCAGTCTGATTAGCATATAAACTTTATTTTAGAAAAATTTTTTGTTTTTAAATCAAATTAAAAACTATTTTAAATTTTTAGCAAGGAATATTTTTGTTACTACTAATAAATATTTTGAATTATTTTGTATTTATTTATATTACATATCTATACATTTTAATAGATTTTATTAAAATTTGTTTTTATAATAAATTAAAAAATATAAAATAAAATAATAGATAAATATATTAATTTTGTTTTAAATTTTTAAAATTTGATTATTAATTTATTTTTATATCATTTTATATATATATATATAAATATATATATATTTTTTTTTTGTAAATCAATTTCCTTCCGTATATTTTTCTTCTTTTTTTTTTTGATTTATTTTCTGTTTTTTCTTTCTATTTTAATTTTTTTATAATATATATATTTTTTTGTATTCCCTTTTCACTCCATTTGGCATCTCAATCACCGTGCAGCTGCCGTGGTTGACTTTCATTGATTGACCCGCGAGTGCCGTCCGTATCTAATCCATCTTTGACATTTGCCAGTCTCCATTGCGCATCCATATTTCACGAGTCGAAAATCAACCGATTCCCCGAATAAAAATATATGTATGCAAAACAAAAAATAAATGGGGAAGCCTATGGAGCTCAATCCAAAAACCGAAACGTGGAGCCCATAAATTTTCCACTGTGGCTCTGCCGCTCATTTGCACAGCAGATTAAAGGGTCTCGCCGGGGTTTTGCACTCTCACCATTCGGCTTGGCCCTTGCGCCGCTTTTCCGATGCCCAATTTTTCACGTTCCACGTTTTTACCCATTTTTCAGACTCTATTTTCTAGCTGCTGTTGTTGTTCTTGCCGGCTGTAGCGGAAAGCTTGCAAAAGTGATTAATGCAAAAGTCGTCGCAGTCGTCGTCGTCGGCGGCGGCGGCGGCGGCGTTGGCGACCGAACAACAAATTTGCCAGCGTCCGCATAGAAAACGCAGCTCGCTTCTCTTTTTATTGAATTGCCGAGCTTCGGAATGCGCAGTGAAACCTCCATGTGCCATTTACCATTCAGCGTTTGCCATTCACCTGAATAAAACTAGAGACTAGCTGCCGTCGCTAGTGGGAAAGAATTCAGCTTTGACTACAGTTGCGCGGATTAAAGCGTAAAATGCCACGAAAGCCGCTTTGGCCAGAAGGCGTGCGAGAGAGGGCGGAGGGAGTGGCTGAGGTGGGGTGAGTGAGCTGGCACAGGCGGCTGTTAAAGCTGAGCCCAGGCGCAGCGAATATCAAATGTCCTTGCCCATCAATTATTTAAGCCCTTTACGGCTGCAAATATAAAATGGAGAACTTGCAACGCATCGTTGATCAAGAATGTGATCAATACCATCCATCAATCGAGATTTCTATAAAACAAGAGCAGGAATGGAAAAGATTTATAAGAAAATTTATTTAAATATAGAAATTATTTGTATGAAATTATATATATGTAATATAAAAAAAAAAAATAATAAAATAAATAATAAAAATAAATAAATAAACAAATAAAATAAAAAAGATAATAAAAAAAAAAATTTGAATGAATTTTCTTAATATTCTTCTAAATATATGAATTTAATATATTTATAGGTTTTTTTTTATTAAATATTGTATAAGCCAAACCAGAAGTGAAGCAGAGGTGAAAGTAAAATATGTTATATTATATTATGACATCTGGAAAAATGTGAAATTTTTGTACTCGTTTAAGAAGGGAAAGAATTATATTGGTTTTAATAGTTTTAGTCGTGCTATCCATCCATTTTCTTACTATATGATTCTAGATTTCTCAATATTCTGAATATACATATATTCTATGTATTTGCTTTATCTACTATACTATATCTATTACTCGAGTATATTATCATAGTGAAATATTCATAATACATGAAAGTCATTGCATGCTTAGTCCGAAGACTTTTTAATTACGTATCTCTAGATTTATTTTATGAATTGTTTGACAGCTTTATATTTACGTCTGCAGATATATAGTGTTTACAGTCTTAGATATATACACTTCTACCGACATATAGTTTATACAGTTTTACTGCTAGATATTCTAAAGTTTTTAATGATAATATATGGGCTTCGATAGAGGGAAATAGATACTATAAAATTATATTATAATTGATAGTTTATATAAGATAATTGAATAATAAATCTAATAAATAATAATAAATCGCACATAGTCATAAAAAACATCTTCAGAATATATGATTTGCTGCTCTACAGATTAAGATTCGTCTATCAATTACTTTGCCTATCAATTCATCAATTGATTACTTTCGGGATAAGCGGTGAGCAAGCTATTGGCCAAAGTGGGAATGGCCTTTTAAATGCTCTAAAGCGATTTTCAATAAATACGCAGCGAGCCCCGACACAATAAAATGTCAAGAAACTCCATCAGACAGACAGTCAGCCAACCCCTCGTCGAGCTGGCACGCCTCGAGCTGGAGACTCGGGGGAGCATTGCCAGCCAGATTTCTATCAAGCCATCAAACGGGCAATGAGACCTGAGAACTGGAAGCTGAGAGCTGCGAGAACTGAGCGCTGTGGCTGCTGGCTTAGTCAAAAGTCAAAGGGCATTGGAAGCAACCCCCGGTGCAGGGGAGGCTAGCTCGATATTCAATGTTATTGATGGTAATTTTAAAACGTGCCTACAACAAAAATTTTACACATTTGCTGGGATTTACAATTTCTACCCCTCCCCGTGTGTGTGCGTTTGGCTTTTTGTTTTGCCTGCGTTCGATTG